AGACATTTGGGTAAAGACCTACTCTCTTCAAATCTCCTTCTTTTGACAAGTCTTTTGAGTAGAAGCTTTTTTTACTCCGCCATTTCCGAACTGCCTCTCAGTGGCCTTTATGATGGGCCTAGCTACCAACCTCTCAATGAGCATTTGAACCTATGTAGTAACTCTTTTCTCAGGCCAATATTTTCTAAATCTGGTGCAAATTTTACTGGCTTTAATGCCAAGACTGTTTTGGCATTTCTCGTTGTGGATCTCAGCCAAGTAACCTCCTCCCTTGTGGAGAGATCATTGTCACAAATTTCGTCCTTGTCGGAGAGATCGCTTTCACCATTCTCTTCCGTTAGAGATTCCTACTGTAGATGCATCAAAGATGGCAACTAAAGATCAAAGAAGGAGTAAGGATTCATGTGCTACACAGGAGATGAGCAAAGCTGAAGTCAGCGTCACACGTGTGGAGCCAACATCACACGTGTGAATGTCACGTGTATATTCAACCATGAGAATGCAACTGGGAGAGATTGTGTAGAAGGTTGGTTCAACTAACAAGGAAGTGACCTTATGCAAAAGGCAAAAAGCATAAGGTTGGCGCGTTGCACAAAGTGAAGTGATAGGTGAAACAGTGTTTCTCTGCGCAAGAATAGTGGATTGTCTGCTGGTCCGAAACATACCTCTTCATAAATATTGGTTAGTGGAGAACCAATAGAACGTGACTGTAGAGGAGGCTTCGACAAGTAGTTCTTCTTGGAAAAATCAACAGAGAGATTGAGAGAGCATGTAACGCCCGTGAACCAAAAAGGGGATTTTTTGGGCATGTGTGTCGATCCACGGAGTAAAATCAGACCGACGTTTTCGGTTTCTGATTTGCCAGTTTGGGGAACGGTTTAGGGGTCACCCTAGAGTTTGTATAAAAGGGCTGGAACAGACGCGTGTTGGTCTCATTTTGGCCGAAAATCAGAGAAAGAGGAGGATTTGAGAGAGAATCAAGRGAGGTTGTGAGTTGTGTGTGATTGAGGGTGAAGGACAGCTTCTGTTCGAGTGTTTGAGAGGGCAAACGGCTGGGCAATTCGAGGAGGATTGGGGTGAAACTTTGAGAGTAAGTTCTTCCATCTCTGGTCTCGATATGGACGAAATCCGTTTGTCATTTCGTTGAATATTCGTTGAGTTATGGCTGTTTGAAGTCGATAGGGTTGTGCAGACTTGTTGCTGCGATCAGTCRGCTTCGGGAAGGCTTTCCGATCGAACCAGAAYGACTTAGGAGACGATCAGCCTATCTGTAGAAAGCTCTCTCTGTCTAGTTTCTAAATCAGGTTTCTGATCCTGATTCTGAGGTATTATCTGTTCTCGGTGTGCTTTCAAAGTTCGTGTGTTGTTCCTGTCTTCTGAAATCCTAATTCGGTTTAGGTAATTTTTGGAGGAGACGAACAGCTAGGAAAATCAGGTCGGATCGGGGTGAAAATTTGTGGGTAAGTTCTCCAATCCTTTTTCTTGATGTGGGTGAAAACTGTTCGTCAATGGGTTGAGTATTTAGGGAGTTATGATCGTTTTAACTGGGTAGGTTTCTGCAGTTTTCTGCTGCGATTAGTCTACTTAGAGGGAGGATTCCCGTCGAACCAGAAAGAGTCTGGAGACGATCCACATACCGACGTGTAGCTTGTTCTGTCTAGTGTTTAGAACCGTTTTCCGATTCGGATTTGGATAATCCGTTCGTCGTGTGCGGGGCGTTCTTGTAGGCATCGTGTTCTTCATCTTTTCAATCCTTTCG